AATTGCATTAAATCTCCATCCTTGAGTACACCTGTTTAATATTCTACGTGACAAAATGATAAGTACATATAAAACATTTATGTGGCATAGAGAAGATGGGGGTTGTCTCTAAGTACAGCACTTGTGTGATTGTTTGAATTGCAAGATTTTTCTGTGGAACACCATGCGTACTTGAAAGAATGAATGAAAACACAAGCGATGGTCATTCAGACTTTGGTATCTGGCAGACATTTTCTAGAAAATGAAACAAAGTACACCTGTCACTTCAAGGAAAACAACTTGATAGTCTTTGTTGCCAACGATAAAATTGGAGCTTCCAAGAGAAAATAAGAATTTTGACAAAACTGTATCTGCCACCATGGCTTGACCATACTTACACTTCCCAATGCCTAACCGTTTTGCGAGTCTGGGGATAATGTGAATAAGATTTTTTGGATACTGTATAATAAAATGTAGCAACATTTGGAAGATCTGCATAACTCAGTGAACCAATGTTTTCCAAACACCTATCACACAATGTTACAGAATCAGCCACGGGTAAAATGACCTGGTCAAGGTATGAGATCGGCCAACGGCTCTTAATGTAACAAACTATGACAAGTTCACTGATATTTCAGATCCACATTGCTACTAACCTTCACAAAACCACCCCTTGATAAGTTTGCGTAGTACCAAAGAAGAATACCCACAATTATCTGAAAAGGCAATAAAATACTCCTCCCTTGGGGCCGGCCCCGTGGCATAGCAGTTAAGTGCGCGCGTTCTGCTGCTGGCGGCCTGGGCTCCGATCCCGGGCGCGCACGGACGCACAGCTTGTCAGGCCATGCTGTGGCGGTGTCCCATGTAAAGTGGAGGAAGATCTGTACGGATGTTAGCCCAGGGCCAGTCTTCCTGAGCAAAAAGAGGACTGGCATGGATGTTAGCTCAGGGCTGATCCTCCTCACACACACAAAAAAATACTCCTCCCTTTTCCAACCAAATATCTGTGTGAGGCTGGATTTTCTTCATAATTCAACCAAAACAACACATCACAATCAGTCGAATGTAGAAGTAGATAAGAAAAGCCAGCTGTCTTCTATTAAGCCAGACGTTAAAGAGATTTGCAAAAACAAGGTCACTCTTCTCATTGGTCTTTTTTTTTTTTTTTTTTTTTTTTAAGTTTTTTTTTTTTTTTTTTTCCCCCAAAGCCCCAGTACATAGTTGTCTGTCATAGCTGCACATCCTTCTAGTTGCTGTATGTGGGACGCGGCCTCAGCATGGCTGGAAGAGTGGTGCCTCGGTGCGCACGCGGGATCCGAACCCAGGCCGCTGGCAGCGGAGCGCACGCACTTAACCGCTAAGCCACGGGGCCGGCCCTCATTGGTCTTTTTGAAACAACAGCATTTTTCATTTAAAAAATGCTACTTATGGGCCAGTCCGGTGGCGTAGCGGTTAAGTTTGCGCACTTGGCTTTGGCAGCCCAGGGTTCGCGGGTTCGGATCTCGGGCGCAGACATACACACCACTTGTCATGCCACGCTGTGGCAGCATCCCATATACAAAAGAGAGGAAGACTGGCACAGATGTTAGCTCAGGGCCAATCTTCCTCAAAAAAAAAAAAAGCTACTTATGTTAACTTGTAATGGGTTTATTATTATTTCTAAATGAATTAATAAATATTTCCATTACTAATATGGTAAATATCAAGACAGATAGACAGACATCCCAAATGAAAAAATATATTGAAGGGGCTGGCCCAGTGGCATAGTGGTTAAGTTCGCCCGCTCCACTTCCGTGGCCTGGGGTTTGTGCGTTCGGATCCCAGGTGCAAACCTGCACAGTGCTCACGAAACCATGCTGTGGCGGTGTTCCACATACAAAACAGAGGAAGACTGGCAGAGATGTTAGCTTAGGGCCAATCTTCCTCATCAAAAATATATATATATATATTGAAGACCCCAAAGAGCTTCTGAAAGGCATAAAGGAGTCCTACGACCAAAATGTATAAGAACCTCTGGTCTAGAACAGCACTGCCTGTCCAGGATATCCACAAGGTTCCTAAGGAAAAGGTCCTTTGTATTTCAGGGCCTAAGAGAAATCAGCACTCTCACAAATTAGTATTTGTTCCAAAATGCCAGCTCTGGCTTTCCAGTTCTGCCAGAAGAGAGGGTGAGAAGTTTGGGGCATTAAAGAAAATTTTTCTCTGCATTTCACTGATAGACCATAGCACCTGATCCCATGCTAAAAACCAAGGAGCCTACGATCAGACAATTCCAAGGTCATAGAAGGAATCTAGCGGGGAAGCTGAACTGAACCCTTTATCCTAAGATCAGACCCTGAAGTTAAAGCTTCATCTACGTACAGTTTTTCAGCAAATGATAACTCCTCATTTACAGATTCATTTTTGTATATGGTTATAAATCCTCTGCCCGCCTCGTTCCACCCCTTCTCCTCTCCCCACTCTTTCAGCACTGGTAATCCTCTGAGCTCGGCCTTCTCACTTTGCCTGGCACACAGTACGCACTCAATAAATGGCAGCTAAAATTCTCACCACAAACTCTCCCAGAGCAGCCGCTTCCACCCCATGACCTCAGCCACCTCCTACCTTCTCAACTTTCTATCATCACCCAGACCTCTGCCATGAGCTCCAGGCCTACAAAAAGACCTTCTGGGCCCTTCTACCTGGATGCGCTGCAGGGACTTCAAGTCAGCATGTCCAAAGTGTAACTCCTTCATCTTTCTCCTCAAAGCTGCCCCTCCTCCTAATAGTTCCTTCTCATCACCACACACCTGGGACTAAAGTCAGAAACCGAGGATTATTCCAGACTGCCCCTTGTCCCTCTTACCCTGCATCTACTTTGCCACCAGGTTTTGTCCAGTCTACCATCTTTAACATCTCTCTAAACCCTCTCCATTCCCACTGCAACCACCATAAAGCAATCATCAGCTCTAGCGTGGTCTCTAGTTTTCTCACTGGTTCCCCTGCCTCCAGCCTGAAACCCTTTCTATTCAACCCACATCCCAACACTACAGTCATCTCAGACCCAAACCTGATGTTATTTTCCTGCTAATCATCTTTCCATGGTTTTCCTGCAATATACTCTTCAAATGGTTTTACTGCATCCCCAAAGAAATTTTTTAAATCATGTATTCCTTGGGCATCTTAAAGCTGAATTCTAAAATTTTCATCCCAAGTTTAAGCAAGTTTATTCTTTTGTTAAGAGGAGGGAGAAAATATTAAATATTTTATAAAATGAAGTTAAGGACTAACTGCAATTGGAATAAACATTTCATGATTTGATCTGATAAAATAAGTCTTAACTATCTTACTGAATAACACACACCCAAAGGAAATCTCTTCTAAAAGTTTTTGTGCAAGTTTTAGCCAACATAGCTTAAAAAACCCATGGTCCCAAAAAACATTCCAGTCTCATTTAACTGTTGTGCTCTTCTGAATTCAGAATATTCCAACAAGGAACAAGCTTCACCCTAACAGCAATGTGTATTAGACAGGGGAAGACAGGAAGCCTTCTGGGTTTTAGAGGTAACAATCACCAAACGAGGCCTCCCTGAAATCACTATTTCCAAAATATTCCATTTGGCAACCTGAGGTTTTTACACTCAGGAGAAAACACTTACAGTAAAATTTGGGAAGCGTTTTTTGTCAGGTCAGTTTTAGAAGAGTTCATTTGTAAGCTGAGGATCTAGAAACTGATTCTTCTAAAGGTACATGTGCAGGTCTTGGTCCCAGGTCACCCCGCTTGAAAACCCTCTTCTGGAGGATACAGTTCTAACTCTTTAGCAAAGCATCCAAAGCCCTTTGTGATCTAACCCCTATTCATTCCCCTCTCCCTATTTGTCACTGGATGGCTCCCTCCAAACCCAGCTCAGGTCTGTCAAACTGTTCTCTTTTCGGGCCTTGCTGTATCTTTTCTAAAGCTACTTTGTTATCTGGAGCGTCCTCTCACCTCTTTATTCCCAGAAAACACTTGATAATTTTTCAAGGTTCCATTCCGTCCAATCAATAAGCAGCCAGTAACTTTCTAGGCACCAAGAGGATGGTTTTTATGCAAACAGTGTCTCAGTATTTATTGCAAGAAATGAAGGATGGGATGAAACACTGTCCCAAAGGGTCCCCCAGCTACTCGTTGATTGGCTACACCAACAGATGCTGAAGCTAAGGAAGATGTGATCTGCAGCATCTGGGAGAGCAGAAATGACTCCATAAAGGATTAAAAATTTTCCAGATCCAGAATGGGAATTTGAAGACCAGGGAATGAGGATAATAGTTTTCCAAGTAAATCGGGGTTAAACATCTTTCTAATCTTCTATCAGAGCACACACCACACAGTATGACAAATGCTTGTTTACTTGATTAAAACCTCCCCTAGATACAAGCTCCAGAGAACACGCCTATCTTGTTCACCACTGTATCCCTCCAGCGCCTTCCATAGTGCCCTGGCTCGTTAACCATTTATCGATGTTGATTAAAAATTATTGAATGATTAAATGAAGGGTGAGTAAATGAAGGATGAGTAAATGAAGAGTTAAATTCCACAGGATCTCAGACCTTGTTTGAATCTCTATAGTTTAGGAAAGTGTTTATAGATACTGTGATGGGGAAGTAAAAAAGTAGATATCCATGTTAAATTCAGCCATGAAGCCTCAAGCTTGGGCTCACACCCAAGCGAGGCGAGTTTAAAGCGCAGCGCGGCGGGAAAGAGGCGGCACGGAGGCCCAGGGCGCGGGGATGCTGCAGGGTCCGGGCACCAGGGGCGGGCCGGCTAAATTCACGGGGCGTGGCCGAGGAGGAGAAGGAGCCGAGGAGGCGCCAAGTCCCGGCCAGGTAGAAGGCCGCGGCCCCCTGGCCCCCAGGGGACAGCGTGTTGGCGGGCAGGAAGCGGGGCTGCGGCGGGAGCGTCCGGGGGGCTGGGGACACGCGCGAAAGGACTCGGGCGGAGGGAGGGGCGGGACAGTCGGGCCGGCGGAGGGTCGTTCCTCCAGCTCCGCGGCCACACTCACCTAACAGACCCAGCTTCGCCCGGCTCGGCGCCGGCTCCGCGCTGCTTCCTCCCTTGGCCTAATGGGCGAGCGGGCGGCCTCAAGCGCCCCTAGCAACCACGCACCGCCACGCGACCCGCGCTCCCAGCCGCCGGCGCCGCTGTCGCCTGCCACGCACTGCGCGCGCCCCCAGCGGACGGACCGAGGGCCTGGAAGGGGCGGGAGGGAGGCAGGCGCGCGCAATCTCGAGAGTTGTGGGGCCTGGGAGGGCAGGTCGTCAGCCGCCTCGCGCACGCGCAGTCGCTTAAGGGTGGGTGGGACTCGGAGAGCGGAATTCTGGGAGATGTAGTCCCGAGGTTAAATCCCTGACAGGCTCTGTTCAGGGACTCCAGGACTTTTTCTACTCTGATTCCACCTGACACCGATGAACTCTTTCTTTGGCCGTGCCTTAATTCGCTCCTCTGAAATCAAAGAGCTCAGCCTTTGTTCAAGAGTTTTCTTACTAATTCTTTCCAGTAAAAGCCTTTGAGTTTGACCTCAGGAAAGAGGAGATCGCCAGGTGCGCAGTGCTTCCCTCCCACCCACCTTCCTCTAACCCCCACCCTCCCAACAGGGTACAACTACAACCACCTGCTTTATGGGCTTCACGTGTGACCTTTAGGAAACACTGACCCAATTCATCATCTCCCCAGGCAAGACAGACCGTGTCCCCTCAGTGTCAGACGTCCCTAGACCTAATGGAGATCTAAAGAGAGCTGGAGGGTGAAAAGATGTTTTCTAAACAGCCGGCTACAGAAATAAAGGGGACAAGAAAAGATGAAACTAACCTAATGAAAATAATCTGGGCCAAAGTAGGGATGCTAAATAAATGTTTTAGGCAACAGTCATTGATGGATGTTAAAACCATTAGAGGATTGATGGGGGAATTCTGCACTGGAAGGATGTCTGCCATCACCTGGATATTTTAATCAATCTTAGATCATGAAACGTGCGACAGCTATAAATTATGTCTCCCGTTAGGATGCTATTTGAACTGCACAGTAATATTTAGAAGTGTATTTTTGTCAAAAAATAAAAAGTTTACTCTGAATCTAATCAAGCTTTTGGCTCCAACTTCCAGTCTATAGGAAATAGAGGGAAACAATTAAATAATACCACCAGAAAGCAATCAGACAAACCAAATGTGGGCCAATTTGCAGATGAATGACCTCTTTCTTTAACAATTTTAGAGGATAAAAAAAGAGTGAAGTGTTCTAGATTATAAGAGACTTAAGAGACCAAATCAAATGTAATGAGTGGACCTTGTTTGGATCCTGATTCAAACCAACCAACTGTAAAAAGATATTTTTGAGACAATGGAGAAATCTGAATACAGACTGGGACATTAAGAACATAGACAATGTTAAGAAACCATTATTAATTTTGTTAATTATTGTAGTCGACTGAATGGGGCCCCCCACCAAAAAAAAAAACCATATCCACATCCTAACTCCAGGAACCTGCAAATATTACTTTATATGGCAAATGATGTGATTAAATATTTTGAGAGGATTAGGAATTTTCCTGGATTATTTGGGTGGGCCATGAATCCAATGACAAGTGTCCTCAGGGAGGCAGAGGGAGACGTGACAGGCACAGAAGACTCAGCAAAGAGGAGGCAGTGTGATCAAGAAGGCAGAGATTAGGGGCCAGCCTGGTGACGCAGCGGTTAAGTGTGCGCACTCCGCTTCGGCAGCCCCGGGGTTCGCAGGTTCGGATCCGGGGTGCGCACTGACGCACCGCTTGTCAAGCCATGCTGTGGCGGCGTCCCACATAAAGCAGAGGAAGATGGGCATGGATGTTAGCCCAGGGCCAATATTCCTCAGCAAAAAAAAAAGAGGAAGGTTGGCATTGGATGTTAGCTCAGGGCTGATCTTCCTCACACACACACAAAAAAATAGAAGGCAGAGATTGGAGTGATATGGATCCCAGCCAAGGAATGCCTGGGATGTTCCTTCCAGAAGGTGGAAGAAGCAAGGAATGATTCTCCTCTACAGCCTTCTGAGGGAATGGGGTCCTTCAGACAGCCTGATTTCAGACTTCTGGCCTCCAGAACTGTGAGAATAAACTTCTGTTGTTTTAAGCCACTAAGTTTATGGTAATTTGTTGGGGCAGCCACAGGCTATTTTGACATTTTAGTTATTTAAGAAAATACCCTCATTTTTTACACACATACAGATGTTTTTTGGAATTAAATGACATGATGCCAGGGATTTAGTTTTGCTTTAAAATACTACAGCAAACACCCCAGTAGCAATGACCACACCTAGCACCCAGGGCTTAGTTTCTAATACCATTCTCCATTAAAAGGAACCAGGGCTCCTTGGAGAAATGGCTGATTCTAGGACTAGGACAGGAAATATACAAGATGAGCCAAAGTATCTTGCAGTACCAGAAATAAAGCAAGTGTTCTAAAAAAAAAACTAAACAAAACATAACCCATATTGGTGAGAGTATGTCACAGGAGCTAACCGAAAGAACTCCCAGTGAACAAAGCTGGCACAATCTGAACGACAAAATTAAATAAAGTAGTTATAAAGTGGTTTATAACCCAAAGTATAAAACAAATATCCATGGGTCCCTGGTATAAATAAATGGTTGAATGTGTTCATAAATGTGGTAGAGACAACTCTCCTGTGCAGAAGAATTCCAAATAAATTATGTAGATACTCTGCCCTAAAGGAGGGGAGCATAACCCCCAATTCCTTAAGTGTGGGCTGTGCAGAGTGACTTCTTTCCCAAGAGCACAGTATGGAAAGGGGGGTGGGATAAGGCAAAAGGAGTAACAGAAGAAAAACTTGGCAAACACTACTTCATCTTGGTGATCAAGGTCAACATCAACAGTCATAAGTCATGTAGATAGTAATGTACCCTTGATATGTGATGAAAATGGCCCTTTACTTTTGTGATCTTCCTCCCCGAAACCCATTAGTCCAGTCTAATCATGAGAAACATCAGACAAATTCCAATAGAAGGGCATCCTACAAAATACCTGGCCAGTACTTCTCAAAATTGTGAAGGGCGTCAAAAACAAGAAACTTCTGAGAAACTGTTACAGCCAGAGGAGTGTAAGGAGACAACTAAATGTAATGTGTAATGAGATCTTAGAACAGAAAAAGGACATCAGGTAAAAACTAAGGCAATCTGAATAAAATACAGGCTTTAGTTTAATAATATTATCCATATTGGTTCATTAAGTGTAACAAATGTATCATAATAATGTAAGATGTTAATGATAGGGAAACTGTGTAGGCGTGGGGTATAATATATGAACTCTCTGTGCTATCTGCTCAATTTTTCTGTAAATCTAAAACTGTTCTAAAATATATAGTCTAGGGCCGGCTCCGTGGCTTAGCGGTTAAGTGTGCGCGCTCTGATGCTGGCGGCCCGGGTTCGGATCCCGGGAGCGCCCCGAGGCACCACTTCTCCATCCAACGTGAGGCCGAGTCCCACGTACAGCAACTAGAAGGATGTGAACCTATGACATACAACTATCTACTGGGGCTTTGGGGGGAAAAAACTGAATAAATAAAATCTTATTAAAATATATAGTCTATTTAAAAAAAAATACAACAAAACCTACAGCAACAGAGATCTTCCCAGCCCACCTTAACCAAGTGATCAGAGGTAACTTCACCAATAATGGGAAAAAGCACCATCATCAGCCTCCAGAGATGATGTACTAAGAAGACATATCATCACTTATATACTATTTCTGCTAAAGATGTATAACCTGAATCAAATCACAAAGAAACATCAGATATACTCAAATTGGCCTGTACTCTTCAAAATGTCAATCAGTGTCATACAAGACAAAGAAAGGATGAGGAATGATTCTAGATTAGAGGCTAAAGAGACATCACAACCAAACACAAAGCATGATTTTGGGTTGGATCCTGGACCAGAAAAAAAAATTGATATAAAAACATTATTGGAACAATTGGCAATATTGGAATATGGGCTGTAGATTAGTTAATAGTATTATATCCATGTTAAATTTCCTGATTTTGTTAATTATACTGTGGTTATATAAGTCAATATCCTTGATCTTAAGAAATTCCCACTTAAGTATTTAAAGGTAAAAGGGCATGATATTTACAACTTACTCTCAAATGGTTCAGAAAAATACGGTAAAACTAATTGTGGTAAAATGTTAACAGTTACTGAATCTGGGTGAGGAGTATATGGGAGTTCTTTGTACTATTCTTCTTACAACTTTTCTTTAAATTTTAAATTATTTCAAAATAGAATGCTTTGTTAAACTATAGCAATGACAAAATTTAAAAACGAATAGGTAGCACTTCCCGTCTCTTTGGCCTTGGCTGCAGAAGTGAGATGCAAAGGGAACCTTGTCATTTGGAAAGCGTCTAAGATGCACACATTGTGCCACCACTGTGGCCCTAAGACCTGCCACCTTCAGAAGTCAACCTGTGACAAATGTGGCTACCCTGCCAAGAGGAAGAGAAAGTGTAACTGGAGTGTCAAGGCTCAAGGACGGCATACCATCAGTTCCGGTCGAATGTATACCAGATTCAGATATGGATTCCGTGAAGGAACACCTAAACCCAAGGGGGCAGCTGTTGCAGGATCCAGTTCATCTTAAGGATTTCAATGCTTAGCCACGCAATAAATGCTCTGGTTTAAAAAAAAAAAAAAAGAATAGGTAGAACCAGTGTGGCAAAATGTTGATAACAGCTAAGTCCATGGTCTCAGGGTATGGGGGTTTATTATGCCATTCTCTCTACTTTTATATGTTTGAACATTTTAAGCTCCCTCTCCCCCCAAAAAGTATACATATATGCTCATACACATGCAAAACCAAACACAGGCACAAATCCTCCAACTTTCCAGACATTCTCTGAATTCCAGACACTACTCAGACCGTTCACTTCAAATCCTCTCAGCACTTTGTACAATGTGCTAGATGTAAAATTGCTTACATATTTCTAATCATTTAGATTGTATGCTCCCAAGGATAGGAACACGTTTTCTTATTATGCTTCCTCATAAAATGATTCATTTTAGGTTTTATGCAATAGCCTAGAAGTTTGGATGTATATTTCATTTCTCTGCATCAAATTGTTTATGTCCCAGATAAGCATGGTATTTCAAGCTATTATTTAACCAATTGTTTTAAAAAAATAATTCTGTCATAAGGTAATTCTCCCTAGATCATATTTTAGAAAAAAAATCCATATTTTAAAATACAATACTGTATTTCCCTAA